TATATTCCAGAGAATCATTGTCCACCACAACAACAGGCCACCACTAATATTAGCAGTCTCCATAGAGATGGTTCTGTTCATGTAGTTTATGGTATACCTTTGGTTGGCAAGCTAAAAAAAGTAAATCCAAAAGTAGCTACAAGTCATTTATGAGAAATTGCTTTGTTGGTTTTTTTTTCAAAATGCTACACAACCGTCTCAAGGACAGAGACTGAGACCCTGAATATCACAAGGGACTTGGTTTAGGGGTTTGGGCCTAGCTGAGGTGGATGTTTGCTAAGTGATTGTTTGCAGGTGGTTGCACGGTCCACTGCTCTCGTTCCTGCTGGTGAGCAGAGGCTTGCAAGATATGGTTTGCTCTGTACCCTACACCTGCCCCCTTTGCAATGGAATTCATCACAATGATCATCAATCTCCTCTGCTTTTGGCCCTGTGCCCCTCGCTTTGTAAAAGACTATGAAAAATACACCCCAAACTTGCCATCCTTTGAGATCTCCCCAATGGACAGAAGACTCTGCATCGATGGACAGCTGAGTGGACTTCAACATTGGTAGCTATAATCCCCTTAATCTCTTTTTTTTTATGCTTTGCTTTCTCTTCCCTCTATCACATATTAGTGCTGATGAGCACTCAATAAAGTGTGTTTTGCTGTTTAAGTCCCTGGTTTGCTGATAATCTTTTGTACTCTAAGATGGAAAAAATCACAAATCTCACCTTGTGGATCGTGACAAGGGCACAGCACAAAGCTGGGTTTCATCTTCAGTGTGTACCTGAAGTTTATGCTTATATGCTTATCCAAGAATTTGTGAAGAAGTCTGGAGCAGCAGAAGGGGTTGAATTCATGGAATGAATAACCAGGGTCTGATCAGTTACTAAGTGCAGAGGTGCTTCAGCAGAGGCTTTAAAGAGACAATGGCTGAACCCGGCAGTGGCTGTGCTGTGTCTCTACCTACCACACCATGACAGTAATTGGGCTCAAAGGCCAGGTGGGCTCAAGCAGAGAGAATGCTTGGCAAATGCTGCAAACTACGAGAGGCTGGCAAAATATTTACATGTCACAGTAATTTAAAACTGGGAACAAGTCACAGCTCATCGGAGGCAAAGGTTGGAGACAGGTCAGCACAGTCACCTCGCTTCAGTTGCTGAGCAGAGCTGTTAATGAGTCATCAGGCCCAAAAACTGGGCACACAAACCTAGAGAACAAAAATAAAAAGGTCCCTGCACCCAACTTCCCCCTGAAATAGTCTGTGGCTGAGTTAGAGTCTACAACAGCATAAGGGAAAACATGAGCAATAGTCTCTGTTCCTGTCAAGGGCTTTCCCGACTTTTTAAGGTTTGGGACAGGCTAGGGAGGTAAAAAGTCTGATTCCACCCTAGTTTCCATGGTCTGCACCTCACACATATCAATGTACGTACAATTCAGTTCATTGTTGCAGCTTTAATCCTCCAAAGACTGTTCATGTGGTCAAAATAACAGAAGTGGGTAGTGTTTGAGACATTAAAGATTAAAACATAACTTGAGTCGCTGCTTCTGTGTTTCTGTAAATAGCAACAAAAATTCAAAGACGAGAAAAAAGGTACAAATGAGATATACCTACAGTCCTGTACCCTGTGAGAGGTGAATAATGGAGTTCATACATTCCATGGAAGAGGCGTCTGAAAAGGAAATAACTAACACTTTTCTACAGTGCTTGAATCTTCTCTTCCTTAATTGGTGTTCTATCCAATCTTTTTGTAATTTTTCAAATTAACAAGTCTTAAATGAGAAACAATTTGAAAAACAAAAGCAGGAGCAAAAAAAAAAAACCCAAAAAATGTAAGAACTGCATTTCTTATGAAAAAAAAAAATGGGAACATTTCATATTTTATAGTCAAGTCAAATTCTGCCCTGAAAAGAACCTCAATTTAAGTAAACATGTCAGTGACTTCATGTAGGGACAGATTTTATTTGTTAAAAAAGGGGGTGGAAAGGTGAGAGAAATAAATACATAAGGCACTAAATGCAACAAAAATAACCAAGTCTTTCTTTAAAAAAGCACATCCTACATGTTGATACAGCAGCTAAGATGGCATCATTCTACCAAGACAGATAAGGAACAGCACTGTAGCAGATTTATTGCTGCAATAATTTCCCCTCTCCCCTCCCATGGGATCCTGATGAATGATAGATCTGGCAATAGCAGGAGTATTTAAATTCACCAAGTAAAGATCATTTACATTTTGTCAGGTGAAGTGCCATCTGCCTTTTCAGATCCTGTTTCTGCATGTAGGGATCCCTGTGCTCAGCAGCTGCTGGGAGCAGGACCCTTGGCTGGGCTGTCCTGCTTGCAGTGTGTCCAGCTCTCCCTGTGGGGTTCCCTCAAGCCAGGGTTAATGCAGATTTAGGTAAAGAGACAGAGAAACCACCTTCGTTTCCAGAATGTGCTGCCTCAACAGCTGATCTTGGCTGAGCATTTACCAGTAAGTAGTACACAGGAAGTTCTAAAGTATGTTTCTTCATTCCATAGCATTTAATGAGATTAGAAGAAATAAAGTAATTTAAGTCAATAAATAGAATAGATTATTGCTTTTCATTACAAACAGACCTACCTTTGTAATTGAGAGCTGGGTGCTGCATTCTCTGTATGCATTATGTTATCTATCAAAGTGCATCTAAATACCAGAACCAATGTTTCCACATACATACAGTTAACTTGTATTTCAGTCCATTCACCCAGCACCTATTGGGAAGCAGCATGTCAATCTACAGAAAAAAAAAAAAAAGACTGTGTGGATTTATTTTACTACATCTACAGGCATAAAATGGAAGCATTCATACAATCTGAGCAGTAGAGCCAAAATAAATGTATAAGCTTTCCTCCACAGTAAATATTTCAAGTTGAGCCATATTTGGTACAGCTACAATTGCAACCCAAATGCTTTTATCAGTAGCCCTTAAAGCACTTTCATATCCAAATGTTCAAGTATATTATCCCAGCACTCAAGAAAAGAGCAGTCTCCTAAATCAGAAACAGTATGCAGATATTAATGCTTAATATGTGAACTTAGTTCCTTTCACTGATGCATTAATTTATCACAAAAGCTGTCCATTTTAATAAAACTAAGCATTTCAGTCTTAAAGGTTGTCTCTCAATAACAGGTCCACTGTAACTTAAACTTGCCAATTTCTATAGGCAAAGTGAGCATCAAATCACTTTGAAATAAGCCTCCTACTAAAACAAAATGGTGTTTAATGTTCTACAGTTGTAATTTTCCAGGCAATTTAAAGAGAGAAGGAAGCTACACTATTTTAAGAATAAACACACTGGGAACTGGAAACTTGCATGCGAAAACCATAATTTACAATGCCTGGCATTGGATCTTTTAATCCAACCTCAAAATTCAAATCTCAGTTTCTAATTCAAGAAGACGTCTGAGCCAAAACCATTAACTAAATGGTCCTTCAGTGGGGAAAGAGTCCATTTTCCAACAATTTCAGATCAAAGTTCTGGGTCTCACATTTACATTTTGGGATGGTTATGTCATAAACAATATTTGCATTAGCCTCAGTTTGCTGGTGTCACTAAAACCCTTGCTACCAGTCTGTTGTTTCAGGCCTTACACAAACTGACCCTCATTCTTTGCAGAACTGCAGAACAAAGTTTTTATTCATGATTATTAATTCAGGATGAGAATCTGATTTTCAGATATGTTCTTAGAAATTGTTATCCTTCTCATTTTAATGTCATATGTACAAACAGCTTTTTAGAAAATTTAGAATTTTTGAAAGAACAAAATAGCCAATGTAGCCAGATAGGACAGTCAGAATTCCAAATCAAGGTGCTGCCACAGTATGTGTCTGGGATTACAGGAGCAGGAGTGACCCAGTTTAGTCACAAGCATACCATGAGAAAAACATGAATTTTCATCAGCTCCTTCCAGCCTAGGAACAGAGCAACTCACAGCTTCGACCACGTACAGCAGAGACAGAGCAAGGTGCAGTTAATTTGGCATATTTGGAAGTGTTGCTGCTTGGCCACCATGTTTTCTGTTATCCAGTTGTTCCGTCTCTTCCTGCAGTGCTCAGGGCAAGCTCGTGCTGATGGACAGAGGGACAGGGTTCCCATCACAGCCCACACTGCAGATGTTGCCAGCTGCAGGCTGTAACTTGTCAGATGTTGCCACTGTAAAGGAGGGCTTGGCCAGAGGCAGACGTGCTGAAGAGCATTGCTGCCTGCAGAGCTTCAAAGCAGCACAGCTGGGGCTGTCACTCAGGTAAAGGCATTCCCACAGCTATTGCTTATGGTCACTTATGGTCACTTACGGTCACTACTGTCATGAGTGCACCATAGAAAGCACAGAGACAGCAAATCTGAGATCAGGGCCTGGGCTTCCAGCAGACCTGAACCCTCTCTACCAAACACCCCAGCCACTGCAAATGACACCAGTGCAGCTGAACACAGAACTAGGGGCAGGCTCAGGTTATGGTGCTCTCTGTTTCACTTTATCCTCTTTACAGACACACATCTTCTGGTCCTGCCCTTCTGCCAGTGCTGCCAAAGCACAGCTGCTGTTTCCTGGTTCTTTGCTAACATCTACTTCATCAAATTCCCAGGAAGATACTTTCCTGTGCTTCCCAATTTGTGTCCAGGACTGCTGGCTGTTGGCAGTAAAAGGACAAAATGTTACAGCAGCCAAAGGCAGGCCATGGGGTACGTCCTTCAAATGTGGCAGAGACATAGGGGAAGATGAATCTGAGTGATTCATTACATAACAAAACTCCAGCATCCAAAGACCAGGTTCCTTTCTGAGCATCTAATCAGCTCTATTTTCTGTATATGGACTATCCATAAATTGCCAGCTCAGCCCACAGATGAGTAAAATTTAACTTATACAATAGCAGATGCTAGGGCTTTTTTATTTATTTATTTTTCTTTTTAAGGATTTCACAACCATATAATGTAGAGAAAAATTACTGTCATGCTAAATGTGCTTTCTGATCCCACACCCCCCCCCCACTGCATATTCCTCAAATAAGTTGACACATATTATTTCAGTAAAATGGTGATGTTACATACGCCTCTGTGTACACAGTGGGATAATAAATTTGAATTATTTCTAGATGCTCTGATGCAAGCGAACGTTTGAAAGTATATGTTTTAAAGTTCACTCACCCTCAAGTTTTTACTAAACTCAAAGTTCACATGTCAGCTGCACTTTCCTAAACCTGCTCAGTGTCTTACAAAGCTATTCCTTGTGTCAAAATCCAAGTCAAGATTACATGTATATTCCAGCCATTCAGAGAAAATTGATAACTGATTTATCAATATTCACCAACTGATACCACTCAGAATGAGGCTACTCTGAAGCCTGTCATCTTTGGGATGGGATGTAAATTGAATATTTCAATTGGGAGGGAGCAGTATCAACCAACTTATCCCCCTGCCTCACCAGTTCAAGGCTGAAGTAAAGCATGCTATTAAGAGTATCTTCCAAATTCCTCTTAAGACTGACAGGCAAGAATCACCCCTCTGGGAAGCTTGTTCCCATGTTTGGCCAGCCTCTTGGTAAAGAAATGTTTCCCAAAGTCCAGTCTAAACCTTCCATGGTGCAGTTTTGAACCATTCCTGCACATCCAGTCTCTGGATACCAGCAAGAAGAGCTCAGCACCTTATCTGCTTCCCCTTAGGAAGCTGAAAGGAGTAATGAGTTCACCCCTCAGCCTCTTTTGCTCCAAACAACATAAACGTAGAGCCCTCAGCCTCCCCTCACAGCCCTTCCAGCCCTTCCAGCAGCTTTTTTGCTCTCTGGACACATTCAGGGACCTGCCCTTGCTTCTTAAATTGTGGGGCCAAGCACTGCACACAGCACTCGAGAAAAGGCTGTACCAAAGCTGAACACAAATTCACCACTTTTTCCCACCTGTTCATGCTGTGGTTGGTGCAGACCTGCTCCTTACAAAATTTCCTTTCAATTACTTTTAATTCTCTCAGCCTTATTCTGCTTTGCTTGTTTTAATTGCTGTATGAGATTAAATTAACATTTCCTTTTAACCTAGGTTGTAGAACATTGTTTGACTGGCCAAATGAGAGCTGAGGATCTTCCCAAAGAAAATATGACATAAAAAATGTAACAACATTGTCATCTTTAAAGAAAAACATAATTTTAACAGTAACTCATAAAATAATGTGTCTTCCTCCTGTGGTTATTTTAGCATGCATGTGTCTTATTCCAGACAAACTAGAAGAGAAACTTACCAACCGCTGCATGTTTCAGCCTCTCATGGAAAATGTAATCACCATAGTTCAAATTCAAATATAGCTTTCCAAGCTACACTAATTAAAACTGTTCTGTTTACAGCAGAGAGGAAAAATGAGGATTTTTTTCCAAACTCTTTTCTAAAGACAACTCTCAGGGCAGATTTTCACAAACATTTGCATGCCTAAAGACACCTATTGGCATTTTCCATAATTAAGTGCTGGAGTGCTATTAAAACCCAGACAACTATTTGCATTGTTGGGAAATTAAATCCCTCCAAACTCCAGCCCTCCATCCTGCAGCACGTTACCTTAGAGAAAATTCCAGCACCCAAATATTTGCATATAAATCTGTTCCACAGCAGCTTATGAACAATGCCATAAGCCCCACTGAAGCAGCAGTCACATCTGGCAGTATGTTTATCAGGAAGAAAGAGGAACATACACAGTACCCCAATGCTTATGCCCAAACTTGCCAAACTGCACTTGCTGACAGAGTTTACTTATCACCAAGAGCACTTTTGCCACCTTAAAGTCCTTCAAGAACACCTTACAGAAGTACCAGCCACATCACATTGCTTTGTTCTTCTGGTAATTAATGCTTTATGCTCCTGGTAAAAACAGGAGGCGATCTGACTCTGATAGAATGCTAAATTAAAAATGAGCAAGTCCTTTTTATCCTCAAAAGTTACAAGTTGCATTTATTTCCAAAAGTGTGGGAAATATTTTGATTTTTTTATTTTTTTTTTTGCAAAGAGCTTTGAATATGGACTCATCCCATAGAAATCACAAACTGTATTTGAGATCACTCATGCACATGTCTTTATGCATGCTGTGTAAACAAGCACAAGGCTGCTTGTAGGATTATGGTTTCATTTCCAGCATACCCAGTTCATTAGAGGAAGTTGAAGGCAAATGGTTATATTTATTTAGGAAAAAATGTTTTCATTTCTGTGAGCTGCTGTTGTCCAAATAAAAAAGCTCTAGTTTCTTCAACAGAAATGTCAAGCCTGTAACTTGACAGGGACATACAACCTGCAAGGTACTACCAAAAGAACCAGCAAGTTTTTAACAGATGCAACAGTATGGCTCAGCCTCCTGCTTCAGCTGCTAATATAACTTAGTGCATGAGAATATAAAGTGAATTTAAATACTAAGAGAAAGTCATCTGTTCTATTTTTTCCTATTCAAGTGAAGTAAAAATTATTTAAAATAAATAGAAATTACTGTGACATACACGAACACATGTGCACAGAGAACCATGTGCATGCACAGATTCACAGCCCTGCTCAACCTGAAAGAAAAATTTTCTTAAATTGTCATTCCTCTGTGAAGCCAGAAGCAATCTGATGACCTTTACTATTGTGTCAAATCCTTACCTGTGCTACAAGTCCCAGATTTAGCATAAGCACCATACAGAAAGGCAGCCTTTGTAGAGACTCTGGGTAATGTATTTTCCTGGTAAACAGATTTTTGCAATAGAAATACCACCGTTTCTATGTATATAGAATTATTATATATTGTCATGGAAAACACTGCATTTCAATGCATCAGTCAAGCTATGTTCATCCAAATATTAAATAGTCACATAACAAGAGATTTAACCTTGCAAGTCCTCTAGTGGAGGATCCTTGACTGAAGAACATTTCAGTCAGACAAACCTGGCCCCAGGAAACCCAGGCCATTCCAGTTGTACTGAAATTTAAAAAGCAGATCACCACTGTCCACTTGTCAAAGGAAAATCTTTTAAACTTAGACTCTCACAAAAAATATCTCTCTTCCCTTCAGAAATATGCTAGGTGGATCAACAGAAAAATACTTCTGAACACCTGACAGATAAGAATGGCAATTGTCAACTCTCAAACACTTTTTTTTTTATTTGAGAGATTGCTGGTATTTTACATTAATATTGAGGCTACATTCAAATAAATCTATAGGTTAAATTTTGCCTCAAAAACAAAACCCCACCTCTCATTCTAAGTCAGTAAAACCCTCACTGGCACAAAACTTCACCTCACCAATAGAAATTAAATGCATATCTAGAAAAGAGAATTTGGCTCTGATACTGGATCTTAAGAGGACACAAACAAAAAAATCTTAATACCCAAGATGTCACTCCTGGCAACTTCTGGAAAGCCAAAACTTCTGGAAGCTGATATGTTATCAGAAGAAATTTTGTTTCCTTCTTAAGTACATTTCTTTGTTAATCTAGTGTCACTGACATACATTTAATACAACATTTTATTTAAATAATATTTTATATAAGGACAAATAAAAATAATTACATAGATAACACAACATGGGAAATTAAATTTTGAACAATTAAATCTTACTGTACAAAAGCAAGAGGTGGCAGACTCATGGTTAAGCCTATTTTACAAGATAAAATCCTCTTGTGCCTCAAGTGTAGCATCTCTGGAGACATCCTCTTACACAGAACTGGTCTTCTGCTACTTACAGACAGCAGAGAATTTTTCAATAAACTTTTTAGATTTAAGGTGGATGCTGGTTTTACATTAGGAATAGCTTTTGTGATATAAAAGACTCAATTTTGAAAAGATAATGTTTCTTTTGAATACCTTGGTTTTAAAATATGCTCTGTGAGAAAACTGAGACCTGATTTTTCAGTGATACATATATCCAGAAAAATTGCTAAGAATTACAGGTACCCAGCAACTACAAAATCAAACTCATAGTTTGACCTAGGCTTTTTAAGAACAGAAGCACCCAAATGCCCCTCCACATTACTGTGGTTTATAGACATAATTAAATAACTTGTTTGTGTGCTCTTGTCTGTTTGCATGCACATGTGCATCCCTGACACTACAGCTTTTACATCTGAGACTTTTTCCAAAGCTGCAGGACTTGGTGAGGTATAAAACTGAATTATCAACAGGTATAGTTGAGCATGTTCATAAATAAGCACATAAATTGAACAAAACTGTACCTGCAAAAAGAGCAGACACTGAATTTTCTTGCTTTCGTAAGGGTCCATTAATATATTAACAGAGGTTTTACATATTTTATACACTCAGATATATACATATATTTTATCAGTAATGTGTGCTTACGTACACACATATGCAAACATCTGTGTACACTTACCACACACACACTCACACTCCCTTATCTACACACATTCAAGTTCTTTGTTTTCAAAGAAAATGCCACCATTTAATAGACACTGAAATTGGTTCCAGGCTCTCCATGATTTTAGAATTATAGAAAAAGTTAACTTACATCTGGCATTGCATTTGACAAAAAAAATCTGGAATTTACAACCAAATTAAAATAAAAGGAAAGACCAAACACATCCCTCACGCTATCAGCTTTCCAATTAGGAATCAAGATATCGGAATGAATCTGGTATAACTGCAAGAGGCAATGGCAGCATTTTGCGTGAGTGCTTTTTTACAATAAACGTGAACCTTTTGCAAGATGAATTAGTATGAATTTGTGGCGTGCACAAAGTTCTTTCCTAGGCAGGTCACTGCTGAGCTCCTTTCTTCTTCTGCTCCAGCTCCTGCAGGCGTTCCTCGCGGCACTGCGCGTGCTGCGTCCCCACTTTGTGCGCTGTCTCGGTGGCTGCAATGTCAATCTGGGCATACCGGGACGATCCACTCCCTGAAACACCAAGTGGCATCCTGTAAAAGACTGCATCCCTCGTATATTCCTGAGTAAAAAAGCTGTTGTGACAATTCCTCCATGGATTTCCTGGGTTAATTTTTTCCAGTATTATAGAAAGCTATATAAAGAAAGTAAGGTGATAACAATAGCTGAAACAAAACACCTCGAAAGCTTTGTTATCTACATATTTTAGTTGTCTGGTTTTCCTCAAATAAGCAAATTAACCTCTTGCATTTCTGCCCCAGGTTCAAATCTCCACCCCTATTACTTCTATTACTCCCAGTCAATGAAATAATTGAGCTTGGCTCTTCCACTTCTGGGAGGCTTCCTCACCAGGCTATGAATCAGGAAATGAACACTTGGTATTTGAACAGAAAGCACTTGTGGCAGCTGGCAGTGTTCTTTGTCTGCATCAGGCACCCTGTGAATGTTTACCAGAGCAGCCACCTTCATCCTCACACAGAATGACACTTCAGCTCATTTTTCTTGGAGACAGGGGAGACAAAAGCTGCATCAGTCTGTTAAGTCTGTTCTATAAGGCTAGAGGCTGGGAAAACTTTAATACGAAAAAAAAATATTTCTGGTCATTAAAGGAACCTTTGAAGTTAAACAATTTGAGTGGGAGAGTAGTTGCCATTTAGGAAAATTTATAGCTTTTAACTCTTCATTTTTAATGCCTTGGTTCATTGTCTTTAAAACTAAGAGAAAATATTGCTTTTACATTTCAACAGGATGTTGTAGAGACAGCTACATTAAGGTCTGAGAGAAGCTTAGACTTACTTAATAAAAACATAAAAGCATTTAAAAAGCAATGGGGAAAGTGTTAGCATTTCAAAGTTAATAAAATTGCTGAAATTAGAAGTATAAAAATGAAAATCTTTATAGCTGAGAAGTATAGATGGAAAACCCATCAATATCAAATACAAGCAATTAAATGCCAAATTCTGATGAGGGGCTTTCTATAGCAAGGACTGCATCTCTAAATGACAACACATGGCAGATCTATTGCATGTTTATGTGCTAATTGCCCAAGTTAAGCATTAGAAGGAAAATACCCATTCCAAACAAAATAATTTTTTTAAAACCAACAAAAACATTAAAAAATTAAATAATTTTCATTTTCTCTGTAGAACTTTCATACACCCTCATGGAGAGCAGTTAGAAAAACACCGTGTTCTGTTCTGAATTATTTGCTGCATGGCTCCAGAGCCAATGTCTTCAGGAGCAAGCCCTGTACACCCACACCCACAGCCCTGCTTCTGAAGCCAAGAAAGAAAAATGAGGTAAGTGTAGTTGTAATATGCAATGAAAATCTTGAGAACACAAGCAAATTACTGTCTTTCAAACTCCTGAGTTTGAAATGTTGACTTTAGAAGGAGCGCGGATACAATCACCTGTCAAAGGAATGCAACATCTTATAGAACTTCATTACTCAAAAATCATTTCCAAGAAGAGATGCCAATTAAAAAAATGCCTCAGAAACAGGGGTTGAACAGGGTTCAGCTCCTCTGTTTGCAGAAGCCTGTGGGTAGATCATTCTTGTTGGAATCATTAAGGTTGTAAAAGACCTCCAAATCATCGAGTAAAGCTCTGACCAAGCTCCACCATCAACTAAGCCACAGTACTAAGTGCCACATCAAGTCATCTTCTGGACAGTTACAGGAGTGATGACTCCATCACTTCCCTGGGAAGCCTGTTCCAATGCCTGACCATCCTGTCAGTGAAAAATTCTTCCTGATGTCAAACCTGAACCTCCACTGGGCAGCTTGAGGCCATGTCCTCTCCTGTCGTTGCTGCCTGGGAGAAGAGGCCAACCCCCACTTGATTACAAACTCTTTTCAGGCAGTTGTAAGAATGATAAGGTCCCCCCTGAACCTCCTTTTCTCCAGGCTGAACACCCCCAGCTCCCTCATCTGGTCCCTAAATGAAATCAGGATTCCACATACCCTATACATTCTGCATATTCTTTGCTGTTTAAAAGTAGACTTCCTTACCTCTTATGCTTGTGCTAGACTCTTGAAGTTCCAGTTCCATGTAGTGAAGCTGTTTTTTGGAAGTAGGGCTGACAGGGATATTGACATAGGTGGCTGTCTCACTGTGGGGTCGATCTGGTGTAGGGACATCAGCTGAATAACCTACTGCCCCTTCTAAAATAAGTAACAAGTTACAACAGGCACTGCTTGCAAACAATTCCTCAGGGGTAGATGGGACATGAGAAAAGCAAAGTTAAATATCCTGAGACACTGATCAAGAAGGATCTATGCAGAAGGCCACAGACAAGATCTTCCTGTGTTGTGGAAGAAGGCAAACACTCTGCAGATCCTCTAACAGCAGCACTACCTTACAAGGCCTCCACCTCTACCTTAGGTTAGTAAAGCTTTATATGAAGTAATTTGTTCTAGGAAAATGTGAACTACTTTATCATCTGCAAGACAGAGAGCAAAATCAGTAGAGGTTCTTAAATCATGTCCCAAAAACAGGGACTGAAGAGCTGTTTCAAGCAAAGGGAGGGCAAACTTGAGGAGACAACACTGACAGCTTCCCTGTGCAGAAATGGAAAATATAGGAATGATGCCAAATGAGGACAACAAAGTATTGAAGGACTTTGAATGAAAGTACTGCAGGAAAAAAATTGTGGAAAAGCCCTTTTAAATAGTAAAGATCACAAGAACTTTAGATGAAAGCCTACAGAATTTTGTAGAAATTTCTAAAAAACACACAGACTAACACCTACTAGGAAACAGTTCCTATAAAACAATTTTTACTAAAAAACAAACTTTTTTGTCTTTTTTTGGTTTGATTCTCAAGACCTCATCTAGCCCTGCTTTCAATTATTTTAATTTTGTCTGCCTGTTCAGTCCAGTTGGAGCCCTTAGCCTTAAAGACTTTCCACCTTTAAGTCAGTTTGAGACAGAGGAGTGCAGAGGGAAAACATCATCACTTTGAGGTTTGCCTTTTTCATGAAGTTCTCCTCTTAAGCTCTTCCTTGTCCCCACAAAGAACTCATATCAAACATTTTTTTGTCCAAACTGCTGCTTTTCCATTTTGCCCATTTAGACACTTCTGAAATGTGAATGGAGAGGTAGTAAAGTATCAAAGCATTTTAGAGCATAGGGGAAAATGACTTCTTGTATCCAGACAACAGCAGTTGTGAATAACCACTGAGGGAAACTTCATCTTCTTGGAAGTATAATGAGTAGCAGAGATAACTTATACGATGTTAGGCAACAGTATGGGCATGTTCCAGGATAATTGAATCTCCCCAGGCTTAAACTGTTTAAATCAAAGGAGTCTACTATACAGTCAAAAAGCTGAAAAGACTGGAAATTTGGCCAATTTTCTCACAGATTTTCATTAAAAAAACAGGAAAATCCAAAAACTATACAAACATTTCTCTGTCGGTCAGACTTCAAGATGTTGTTGCAAAGCAAGATTAGGAACAAAATGACAAAATCAATGCAGAAATGAATGCAGAAGGAATTTTTATATTTTCATCAAACATCATTCTCAGAAATTATTTTCAATTATTGTGTCCAAAGTATTGCAAAGGAATTTGGCCTGATTGAGCAAGAAGAGAGAAAAATCATTGCATTGACAACTTGCATCACAAAAGGTTAGAAGTTGCAGGCAAGTGACAATCTTAAGTGCAGTCACGAACAGTCATGAAGGAAAAGATAATTTTTGAAGTCTTTCTGTCTGCTGTTAGAGTGATGTAACAGAAGTGTTAAGTGAAGCACCCTCAAAGTTAGCTAGCATGAAAACTAGCAAGATCCCCTACAGAACTAAATAGTTAATGGGCTTAAGGAAGTTGAACATTATACCTGATGCAAACAAACCAAGTGATTGATTTTCCTGAGAACTAAAAAGCTACACATGGAGAATTTATAGGGCTTTGTGCAAGAAAAGCATAAGAAACACACAGAAAAACAAACAAACAAACAAAAAAAACCCTAAAAGCTGGCAACAGTCAAATATTCTTCTCAAAGGAGGAAGTAGAAGAAAAAAAAAAAAAAATTGGGCAAACTGGAATGGAAGGAAGGGGAAAGCCTTCTGTTTTTCAGTCTGTGGTGTCTCAGTAGAAACTACTTTCTTTGTATGCACAGGAATACTTGGTTTTCATTTTTCCTTAAAAATAAAACCAAACAAAACAAACCTTTTTAGGCACTGAAAACTGGCTTTTATTTGCTGGAAGAGAAGGGTTTATTTAAAAAGTACAAAAGAGTCAAATGTTCCTACTAATGCAAACACGGTGCACAGAGCGAGCCATGGGCAGTGCTTTCAGCAGCCCCTCCTGGGTGGACAGGGACAGGAGGTGTTTCCAAGAGGGGTCAGAGGGACAGTATTTGAGAACATTGTGAAAAGAGGATTTGTGAGAAAAACAGACCACAATGCATGGTTACACCATTCTGAAAGAATTGGTAGAATATCATGATGGCTTGAAGAGAAAGGGGGAAACTAGGAATCAAAAGAGATAGTCAAGCAAGTAACAGGAGAAAAATAAAAATGAAAATTCAGTGGCCCTCAGCTGAGAGGAAAATAAATAAAAGGACTATAATTGGGGAGGGAAGAAGAAAGTTATATTTGAAACTGGTGTTGCAGTCTTTCTTTCATCAAGTGTTATTCATATTTTCTACGCAATATAGGCACCATTCTCAGAAATGAGCAATAAACTACACAGAAAGAAAACCAGCACTATAAATGCAGCCCAAAGATAAGTGTGTGAGCATGCATGTAAAGCTGAGATGTTCAAAGGGCAACACTTCAAAAATCACACTTAGAAGAGACCTTAACAATAAAAAAAATAGGGAAAATTAAAAAGAAACAGGAGTTGTTAGTGACCTCTGACACAAAAATCTGTACTCACCAGGTTCCTCAGAACTAGTTGGAGTTCCAGGTTCTGAAGGAAGTGTTAGCATCTCATATCCACCTTTAGGACCTAGAAAACAGGAACACTGTTAATGGCTTTGGATTTAAGAATTTTACAATATAATCAAAGCCTATTCTTTTCTGGTTTTGACTTGCAACCTTATAAACTAAATCAGACAGAATAATCTCAGAAAGCACAAACAGTGGCTAGTGCTGACTTTTCTGTAATGGTGATGTCAGCATTTCCTCATGAGTGTAACACCAAGGAAACAAAATTTAGGACACTTTTACAACTATTCACACTGCAGGCCACTGAAGTCAACAGCAGTGCATTTTGCTGTACATCAGTGTGGGAGCAGAGCTATCTTGCATGCATGATTCAGGGAGAAATGCGTGGGTGATCTTGGGAACACCTGGAAGACTCTTGTTAAAATTCCACCTCCAGCATGATGGATAACTTCTTGATTTCTGAAAAAATATCAATAATGCTTAAGCTAGCCTTTAGAAAGAGAACTTTGCTTTCCAAGCTCAAATCACCATGTTTACATAGAAGTCAGGCTGCACATCATCATTGGTCTTTCCTGAGCATGAAGCTGAAAGAGATGCCTATATTTCTTCACTATTACAGACTCCATCCCAGTTAAAACCAGGCAAACAAAAATGCTGTGTCCATAGAATGAACATATTGCAATTAATTTTGAATGACAAACACACATAATTCTATCTGCTGGCAGTGTTTTTTTCCTCCATTATTATAAGGAAGTATATTTAAATGTAGTGGGTGTTTTTTCCCAGCACATCATTGTTAGGGTACAGGATTTCTTATGGTCTGAGGTGAACTTTTTTTGGTGGGTGCCCTTTGTTAAAGTGATGGCAGCATTTTACTGCTGTGAATAAGATTACTGCTTATACTCAGTCACTTATCTCATCTGTCACTGCCTCTTCTAAACTTATCCCATCTGTCAATGCCTTTCTGACAAAAACTCCTCAAAGCAAAAAACCCAAAGAAATACGTAAGCCTTACAAAGGGAATCAAATCATGCATTACCTTAAATTATTTTAAACTTCAGAAATTATTAAAGTTTAAATTAGTTTCAATTTACATGCACACACATACCTCATAATTATTTTTACTTACCAGCTTGGAGACTGTGCCCTCTATGCACTTTCAAAGACCCAGAAGCTGCCAAGACAGAAGCACCACCTGTTTTCAAACACAGAGATTCATTAAATCTAAATACCTGTTTCATTTTTAGCAGATGTTTCTGAAATATCTAGAAAAAAAATAAAACAAAACATGAAGAATTACAGATCATTGTTCTTCATTCAGGCAATTATTTTATTTTTTTTAGGGGTTTTTGTGGTTTTTTTTGGGTTTTTTAGTGTTTTGCTAAATTCTTTATCCTGAGTTTGTGGCATTAAAATCTAATTTAGTTGTTTTCTTTCTTTAGAGAGAAAGGAAGGCTTCTATTAACCCCAAGGATGCTGTCCATCCCTGCCTGTGGTGGGTATTACCTGCCTCACAGGGAAAGCTGTCTTCAGCTAAGAAGTAAAATGACAGCAAGAACTGATTTAGGAGATCCTTTGCGATCCATAATGTAGCTTTAGCAACAAAAGTTCGAGTGTTCATTAAAATCTGGTCAGACTGGATCCAAAACCTACGAGAATGAGAAAACTGCCACACTTCAGGAGTCCCCCACCCATGTTCAGACGTGGACACAGCAGGCCAGGGGAGAGGGAACACAAGGGATCTGGTCTGTGGGGATTGAATCCAGGCCACAGCACGTTCTTGTGAAACAGCCTCCCAGTGTTCCAGCCAGGAAAGCTTCTCCATGGGCCAGATGGCACAGCCAACCTCCCTTCCCAGCCTGGTTCTGGCCAGCAGGAAGCTGCCCTAGGGAAATCTGAGGAAACAAGAGCTATCAGCTCAGAAACCTGCAGAGGGGTGCCCAGCACTGCGGCTTGTTGCACACACACAATTCTCCTTTCAGCAGCAAACCCAGCAGCATCACCTGCTGCTGCTGGCTGTGAGCATCACTGCCCTGGGGTGCCTCTCCCAGATCCGCCCCAAAGCAGGACAACCACCCCATCCAGCCCTGAGCCTCTGCTCCCCGGGTGGGAGGGGGTGTCAGGAGCCCTGCCACGGGGGACAGGGCGGCTCTGCCATGGGCTGCACTAAACAGATAAAATTAACACTCCTCTGAGCTCCTCAAGAGCCTCTGAGCAGGTGAGACACCGCTCTGCACATTGCTTTTAAAATAGCCCCCAAAAATTACCACAGCTCTTATGCAACATGAAGAAATTCTGTAAGATAAATATTCTGAAATATCTTAGAAAACTGCATGGCCTGGGAAGCTAAAGAAAATGTCAATTACTTTTTTTTTTTTCCCCTCCTGTATGAAGTATACATACCTTCTAGATTTAGAATTTTAGTTCTAAATCTAAGAATTTCCAAGCTTGTAAAATTAATCCTACAGTTTTATAAAATGAATCGAAAAAACCACTCATTATTACACATAATAAGAACAATGGATTAAAATAATAAAAAATTATTTCAAAAGGGCACAACTGAACTAAAGCCTTTAGTTTGTTGTCTTTATGTACATGAAAGCATATACAGGGTAATCCAAGGCTACAAAGTTCAGGTTTAAAGTATGCCAAACTGAGAATCTGATTTTGTATTTTAACAAATGAGATCAGACTGTAGAACCTTTACAGATTGTGGAATTCTAGTGAGGACTTAACACCTAAAAATGTTACTTGGAATTTTGTTTTTAACAAGACTGCTGATAAAAATAAATGCAAAAATAGGACAGCCCCAGGCTAGCTGATTTACTTATATTTTTACTGTAACTCATCTTCCTTTTTCTCTCATCAGGGCGTCCTCTCTCTGCATTAAAAACGTCAGAAAATGGTTTATGAAGCCAAAAGCCTCACCTTCCTTTGAAGAAAGATTACAGTCATATGCTAATTCCAGCTTCATCACAAAACTAGTGTGGGGTTGGGGGGTTTTTTTCCCCTCAAAAACTTATGGCAATTCAACAGAAATTATTCCAGAGGCATTGTGGATTTTTAAGCAACATTTTTAGGATTTGTGAAGAACATGTGGGACTTGAAAGGAGATTTAAAACAATAAGAAATTCCAAACCATTTATGGTCAAGATTATATTTTCCCATTCAGAGCTTATTTAAAAGAACCATGTTAATGTTTCAGGATTTGACCTGTTACATTTTCCTTATTTTCAAATCTGGCAACTAACAAATATTTACATAGTCAAATCTCTCAGGGAATTTTTTTTGAAGCTTTGAACTTCATCATGTAAACACATATCAACAGAGATCAACCTAGATATTTACTTCCTTCTTCTTTTCAGCTCTATAACTGTATAAACTGATTTGTTTCTTATTCATTAATTCTAGGATAACACTTGCAGGAATGGAAAAAGCAAGTTAGAAAGATACATTTCTTAGCAAATGAAGTATCCAGCAGGAGACAGACATTCACATTATTCTTTTCATTTTACAAGGGATTGTTAAGAATTTTATTTTTTTTTTTCAGTTTCCCTGACCATCCAGTTCTGTGTGGCTGACTTGCTCAAGTCTTTGTCAGACCTGAGTATCTCATCAAGAGAGTTACTTCTGTTCTACTCTCTTCAGTGTGTAAGAGGAAGAAGATATTCAAAATGTGACAAAATTAAAATAATCTGCAGGATATTTTGAATTCTGACATTTGATTAGATTCAAAAGTTTAATGTAGCTCCATGAAGACAACAACTATTTGAAATATTTTTCTAACTTTATAGTTATTGTTTTATGCTCATTCTTCAAAAATAAGGACAGTTTACAGCACATGTGCTACAAGAAAGAGCCATGAAAAAAAAGAAACCAACCAAAAAAAAACCAGAGGGAAGATGGAATATTAACTATAAACTGAGCCCAGACAGTTTACATTTTCAAATCTTCTGGCCTACCATTGCATGACCACTGAGGAGACACACACAGCCCTGCACTGCATTCACCAAGTGATCACTTCTCACTGCCCACTTCAGGTCACAAACTCTTCAGGTCTATAAAGCTTCCTGACAAGGAGTGAGGCCAGAAGAAAACACCACATTCTGTGATAAAACCCTGTTTCTTGCTGAAATAAAACTTGCTTTATTATGAAGAACTTTGACCCACTCACCCAAAACATTCCCATCTCCTTTGAAAACAGATACCTTGCTTAAAAGAGCATCCAAAGGCCAAAGAGGCTGACTGACAGGAGAAACCCTGCAAGTACACCAGGAGGTTGTTCCATGTAAATGTAATAGGAGACTTCCTGCTGCTGTATATTTGCCCTACAAAACTTCCCTGTTTGTTCTCTTCGATTTTCAAAGTAATTTCATATATTTTCTGCTATACAAATGGCATTATCTGCAAGACATAAAAGCTGAAGGGGATTCTTAAGAATGCTTACTTGCTCTACAGATTTCTCCATATTGAGCAGTGTCTTCTCTCTCTAACAGACAACTTTAAAAGTGGTAGAATCTCTCAAAATTAGAAATACATTCAAGCACTCTGTTCAAATATTGCTCCTCAAAAATGTCTATTTAGTCTGTGCAGAAAAATAACAGAGGATCTAACTACCTCTAGCTATTATTCATCTTCCCATGCTGCGGGCAATTCCAGCCCAGCCTCCTATCCTTAAAAATGCAAAAGCATTGAACCAGAATTATTATCATTTTCCTGTGCTAGGAAATTCAGTTTCCTGGGGGTTTTTTGGGGTTTTTGTTGTTTGGTTTGTTTTTTTTAAATACACCTTCAAAAATGCTTTGAATACATTTAATTCAAAAATCTTGATACACGTGAAGGTCAGGACCTACAATGGCCAGGGATGAAGGTCACATGCAAAACCATTTTTTTTTTTTTTTTAAAAAGTTGAAATAATCACTATATGTGCAAATAAAGTTCTCATCTTTGTGTTCTAGAAGGCTGGGATATGTAATTTCCCCAGATTTCAGTGTCAGAGAAGGCATGGGGAAGCAAATCATGAATAAATAAAGGACAGGACTAGAGGGTCACTGTGTCACTTTCTCATCAATTTCTGTCACCCCCTATGCAGAGAACAGGAACCTGCTGGATCTGCTCAGCCCAGAGGATGAAGCAGCAGAACTGGATCATTCACTGGCATGGTTTCCCCACAGTTTTCTTTCCCCCCTGGAAAATGACCCCTTTTACTTCAGACAGTCACCAAGGCAAACTTATAGTTTGTAAATGCAATATGCATTTTAATCAGCTTACTTTTCCTGAGCTCCTATTTTTCTTCCCTTACAGAAATATTTTGAGTGCACTTGTAGAATAAAGCAGGACCAAGAAAGAGCATGTCATATTATGGCAGGGTTTAACTAATCAGTTTTTCATTAGAATGATGCTTTTCTATTACAGAGTTTAGCCCTATAAGGTATGACATCACATACCTATTGTGGACATTGTTCAACACACAGTCCTTTACTGGCTCAATAAAAATATCAGAGTGCACTTGATCTTCCTACATCTGAAGAGCTGACAGCATAAATCCTGAAAAAAGTGAGAATTGTAAATTGTTTTCAACCTAAGCAATAATAACCACCACAGTATGGCCTGGATTCCTCCTTCTCATTGCTCTGAATTAATTCCTTAAAAGCTGACCCCTAAGCTTGGAATAAAAGTATCATGTTGCATAGGTATGCAACAAAAATATTTTTAAATGTACAAAAAAGCACCTAGTTTTCCATCAGAAAAGCTAAGCTGTCAGACAGCTGACTTCATTTTCAGCACCTGTTATATATTTAATTTTATTCTTTCTTCTTGTCTGCCTGCCTGGAGTCCCTCCCTACCTAAGAAAAATTTAACAGAGATACATAGTTCATAATCAGCATTCAGGTGATATTTTAGCTGAATTCCAATCCACAGCATTGCTTTATGTTTTTCCCTTAATTCATCCCCTCAGAACATTTCCCAACAAGCATTGTGTAGGTTTTGTATTGCAAGCTAAGAGGCTGCCAGAGAGCAAGACTGTCTGTTGCAATGCTGAAGGATTTGCTCCTATGGAATAAAGGGGGAAATGGAAAAGAAGAGAGACAATTTACAAGTCAAAAAGCAATATGGAAAGTGCACTGCTTCCCTGGGAGCATATTTGTTACTTGCCCAATACAACATTCAATTCTGGCTTTTGCAAAGCCAGAGCCCATGGCACAGAGGCACAGGGAGATCAGACCTCCCCCTGGCATGAAATGCCTTCTCCAGGGACTGCAGTGTCCCTAAGCACTTCTGAAAGCTATTCCAGCTTCCCTTCTCTAAATAGGAGTCTTGGGATTCAGGCTGCTCAGCTCATTTGGAAGGGGTTGGCAGCTAAGGACAGAAATAGTGGCATTTCCCTAAGGACAAAAATAGTGGCATTTCCCCTCCACACAAAACAGCCTCATGACTTAAACATCATTCATAAAAGATTGCTGTGACAGAGTTCTACTCAAATGAGAAAACACAAATATTTTGAAGGAAATCATTCACCCTAATGAGTAAGAGCTGCAGGTTCCTTACCTAAGGTGTTGCAATGGAATAGAAAGGAGAACAGTATTTAAGTAAGAGGCTTAAATTACAAATTTAAATTTCTAGGAAATATATAAATGTAAGAATAGCAGAGGATTTTGGATGATTCAAGGTGAATTAAGGATTCCCACTGCAGAACTAAACAAACATCTCTCAGACATACACAGAAGAGCATTCAAACCTCAGGGCAGAGACTCTTGCTAGAGAACTGCTTCATTCCTATTTTTCCATCAACACTTTGGTTTATAGTGCCACAAAGATAATGAAGATAATGACAAGCTCTTCAGCTCACCATTCTGTAAAGGAATGAGCAGTCTATTATTTCACCTCTCAGCACTGAATGTGGATCTTATTCATGATCCCTTAACTCAAAGCACGTAAGCAGTTCCTGAGAAAAAGACCTACATCTCTGAAATTGCAACCACCAGATCAAGCTACAGGATTTTTTAAGCAGTCATGAGAGTCTCTCTATGGGTCCCATGAGAACTGCTCACACAAAATGTACTAAACTGAGGTGTCCCCAGAATCCAGCAGTCTCAGGAAATCTGAATCATATTTTTGAACCTCTATCTTGTCATGGTATTTTGAGGTCCATCAAAACTATGAATGTGGTCTATTATACTTGAGAGCACACATCCACACATCATATAACTCCTAAGAATCCCTTACCTTTATCTGTAATACAAAACTATGATAACAATGGGAACATTTTCCTCCTACAAACTCAAGTAATTTAATTCAGTCTCTCTTTCTAATCAATATTTACAAAGTTATTTATAACAAAGGCAACCAAATTATTTAAACCAGAATTAAATGATTCACCCCAACTTGGTTTTTTCCATCTAGTAATACAACTTAGAATTGTTGCCATATTTAGAACACTTTTCTGTTTGCCATTAGAATGAAACACAATTTTCTAAAGTTACTGAGTCTGTTGCTGAGCATATCTAACTAAAAGGAGAAAGGGAATACCCACTTTCCCTTTCAACAAACTGAAAAATACACAAACAATTGATCCGTGACTGTTTAATTCTGTATCTTGCTACAGAATTCAGGCATTCAAGAGCAAAAACATTGCATAGAACCTGTGGACACCTGTAGCCCAGGAAGGAATTGGTTTGCATTCTACAGTGCGTTTGAATGAAAATATGATTAAAAATAAATTTGTTTGTAAGTGAACTGCTACATTAGGAAATTTTATATGTGGGTATTGTGTCATTGTATAATCATCCATGCTAGCAGAGGCACCTTGCCATGGAGGTGCACAATACAGGCTTTGAAAGTAGTTACCTCAAACCAGTGTGTCTTTATTTTATTCTCAACAATTGATAATAATCTCTCATAACAGAGAACCATAAAGTCCTAATGCAGTTGCTCTAGTCCAGCAGAACAGTGTGAATGACTGCTCAGCACCCTGGGACCTTCAGCTTGGATTAAATATTCAAATGCTACAGAATATTATGAAAGCTTTGAAATGACAAGTCCAATTATACTTAAAATTTCATACATATGAAAGACAAAACTTTAATATGAAGAAATAATAATAATATTAATAATAATATTTAAATTAAATATCTAAGGACAATAAAAATGCAATGACACAGAAAACTTCAGCTCCTTTTGTATTCTGAAAAATAGTTTTAATATTGAAGAATTAAATTGTACTGGTATATTGGAGTATTTGAGAGGTGAAACCCCACAAAGAAAGCTTCAGTCACTGACTTTAGATGCTGCATTTGTCTTCAGCATTTACACATTGTACACAATGTCTTAAGCATTTACACTTATTCCTGCAAGAGTTCTTTCCATAAACTACATTTTCCCAGTGTACCAGACAATAAAACACACCTGCTCAAACTTCTTCAGTCTTGCAGCTTCTCTTTCTGTTGATACAAAAATCTGCTCTGTATTTCTGCAGTTCCAATTTGCTTCATGATAGGTTTTATCAAAACAGCTAACTCCCTCATATGCATGAATAGTCTGAGATTAAGTTTTTTGTCAGATGTTGTTTGCATCCAAAATTAACTTGACACTGAAATTAATACAGAAATAACATTCTGCCCACCACATGCAGCAGAAGCTTCCCTGTATTTACACACATTTTAATCATAAGTGTTCTGCTTTCCTTGGTTTGAGTGGAGGACTACAAACTTGAGTATGAGAAAGATAAAATTAATGATCCAGTTTGGGCTTCTACTTACACCTCTATAAATCAAGCATAATTCCACTGGCTTGAGTGGAATAACTAGCAACAAGATCTGCTAAATGCTTCTGGATTTTCTCCTGCTAAGACTGACAAAGGAAGCGAGTTACTTTTAACCTTCCCCAGAGACACTTTCTGATCCTGAGTATCTTGCTGGATTTGTCCACACAAGTATCCATCAGCTATGCTGCTTTATGTATTTGCCAAGGTTTTTAATGGAGTAAAGAAACCCAGCCACAAAGAGCTGTTCCATGCCTATTGGAGGTGGGTATCCTATGAAATTTAATTCTGATGAATTATCAGGTAAACTATTTAAGGAATAAAAGGCATTTAAGACACTAACCAAATTCTTTGCACAGATTCTCTCTAAGGTCTAAGATGGAGAGAAACTACACAAAACCAAACACTTATGAAATGTTTTCTTTGAAGTAAAATGATAATTCAAAGGTGCCAGACCAATTTGACAGTGAACTCAGTGACCAACACATTCTACTGAGAAGTTTACAATGCAAGGATGGTCAGTGCCTTTGCTAAAATAATCTTTCCAGCCCAGATACTCAGTGTCCTCTCATTAGTGATTTTGTTGGTCAATCAACAAATAATTTCACTGACATGAGAGAAGCATTTCCAAGTTGCTTCTAGTAAAGATTCATTCCTCTGATTTTGTGTTATTTAGGAAACTGTCTATACACACTGAACATATAATCAAGTTTGCCTTGGTGCTAATATCACCTAAAAAGAAAAATTTCTTGGTATTCTTTGAGAAAGTAAGTAGAAAAGGCATTAAACAGCATTTTAAAGAATCTGACAACTTTGAACCTCTTCAAATTAACAAAAGAAAGAGAAAAATAAATATATTCATCTTTTCAACCAGGGTTATTGCAGATTACAATGTATTTCAGAACTGCCATACATGAATTGCAGCAGCAAAACCAACCACGAACAGGACAACTGTCAATATAGTATTTAATTCTGCTTCCACAAATATTCTGTTCTTCTTATCACAATTTGAGACTTAAACATACATCATTGTTAAATAAAGCAAATAACAAAAGGCTCCTACCTGATATAGCTGGTAAGACTCCAGACTGTAATACTGCTGTTCCCTAAAGAAAACAGAAAATTTTAGAATGAAAAATCTTTACAAGAAGTAAAAATTTGACAAAATGCAGGAAGTATACAAAAGTAGAAGGAAGAGGAGGAAATCAGAAATGTGGCCAAAATTTCATTTTTGAAAGAGAAAAAACATCCCAAAGCATTTCAGAAAACATTAGCTTATACTTGAAAAAGATGCAAAAATGCCAACAGAAGCTTGATGTGTGAAATTATATCAGATCAGGGACACAGTTAAAGATCATTTAAATTATAGGAAAGACAACAAATAACTACAAGAATCAGCTTTGATTGGATAAAGAAAGGAGCCTGAGAAAAAAAAAAAAAGCAGTGTTTTGTTATTAAATGATCTTTTCAGTCTTTAAGATTGTCTTCATTTCCCTTTTCAATATATCATGTTTTATTGTTTCTGCAGCTCTGAGGCCTCCTGCTGCAATCCTCTGTAAAGCAGAGACATCTCTAACAGTGGCAACTGCAAAGGCAACTCAGCAGAAAGAGCAATAGAGACATGTAAAAGCTACCTTTTATAATTCTACAAAACACAGCAAAACATGCTTTTGCCTGTAGGAGAACTTTTTAAAATTATTATGTCACCATGTAGAAATGTAAGTGAATGGTTTTCAAATGCAGAGCATCAAGCAGATCTCAACCCACCCTCTGATTACATCAAAGGAGAAAAGGGGTAAGTGACCTCACTCAAATCATATGCTTTTGTCACGCCTGCTATGATACTCAGGCAAAAACTAACATGATTATCTAAGGCCTCATAGTATAACACATAAATATAGGTGAAATATCCTTCTATCATGTAAACTTTCATCTGTGGCCCAGGAGCTGAGTGCTGGGGTCTGTGATGCATGGCACTGGCTCCAGCACGACACCCACCGTAAGCAGATATTCACCATCCGTGCATCACACACCAGGAGCTGCATGGCCAGGGCTATTTTAGCTCTGGACTGATCTGGCTGCTCTCAGATGACATTCACTTTTTATCTTCTGCTTCCAAATATCTTGGGTAGAGTTCAATGATAGGTGTTTGGAGAAGCCACTGGTTTGATATGCTGGATCATCATTCATACTTTAGCTCAGTTGGCCTAAAAAGCTAAATAAAATTTAAGCCTGGCATTTCTTTCTGTGTGTACAATAACCACCATGGCACATAAACCTTTTCACAATCAAAATGAGTTTTTCTTTTCCTCCTTCTGTGTATATTTGGAATATCTTTACCATCCTCTGACCTTTTTTGTTTCCTATTAAGGTTTCAACTTTATATATCCAAACTTTCACTCACTTTAAATTTCAAAAAATATGTGATTGATCACACCTATTCTCATTTAAAAAAAAAAATAAAAAAATCAGAAGTTAAAAATATTGTCCCATACAAAGAGGAGCAGGCCTACCAGTCTCTGTACAACTTTTCAATGATTACATACCTAATCCTGCTCTGATGCTGCTTATGGGAGTTTTAATCTTTGGGTCCAAGATCAACCCAAAAAGTCTAGATCATCTAATATAAGCTCCACAGCAAGGAGCAAAGATTCTGTACTGCACAGTTTCCTGGCTACAGAAGTTTTGCCAAATTCATAGTGACAAAAAACACCAGAACAGCTTTGCAAGCTCACCTCTGTGGCATAAAAAGGTGCCAGAAACTTGCAAGTTAGGTGGACAGAAACAAAAGAAGGAAAATATCATCTTAAAACTAATTCTTCCCATTATTGGCTATGATGGATAGCTGATCAATATTAACCAAGCATTTTCACTGAGCAAAAATATTTTGCCTCCTAAAAAGAGTAACCTACACTTCCAAGAAAAAACAGATTAGCTTCTGTAGGTTTGAATGCAGAGCAGGGCTCCATCATCACTGGCAAGAGGAAAGAAATGCCAGTCACCTGATAACTGTGTCAACATTTCAGACACACCTCATCAGCCACAGCTTATGTAATTCCCTTTGTGTATCTTTAGAAATAAAGCTTTTCTTTCAGCTCATCTAAGTTTGGCAGCTTTTTATAGCTCCATTATTCTGTGCCTACTGAGAGTTAGAGTTCTCAGCACAGGAAAGATGAACCTCTTGGAGCAGGTCCAGAGGATGGACAGAAAATGATGGGAGGGCTGGAGCTCCGCTCCTTTGAGGAAAGGCTGAGAGAGCTGGGCTTGTCCAGCCTGGAGAGAAGGCTCCAGGGAGGCCTTGGAGCCCTCCAGTACTTACAGGGCTTTATAAAAAAGATGGGAACAGATATTTTGGCAGACTGTGTTGTGATAGGACAAAGGGTAATGGTTTTAAAATAAGAGTATAGATTTAGACTGGATATAAGGAATAAATTTTTTACTATAAGGGTGGTGAAACACTGGCACAGGTCACCCAGAGAAATTGTGGATGCTCCATCCCTGAAAATATTCAAGATTAGGCTGTATGGGGCTCTGAGGAACATGACATAGTGAAAGTGTCCATACTCACTGGTAGGGACTCACAGAGGGTTAAACCAGGTGACCTCTAAAGGTCCCTTCCAGCTCAAAATATTCTGTGCTTTTCAGGTCTCTTTTGCTTTAGCCTAAGCACATATGTGAAGTTTTGTCCCAGTCTGAGTTCTCAAGACTGGAAGAAGAAGAGTTCAGCATAAATGAGAGCCTCCCAGATTCTTCTTGTTATGAAACAGGACTTTGTACTTGACAGTAATAGAAGCAAATATTTGCATTCTGAGATTTTTATTCTGCACATACCAAAAATGCACTCATAAACAGAGGCTTGATTGCAACATTGGTCAAATGCTTAATTTTCACAGAGGAGATGATCTAGATTGCTTTTTCTCCTCTCCCTTTCTTTATTTTAAAGCTACACAAAATATCCAGTTTTTCAAGAGAGAACCATGAAAATCTTGACTCGAAATCCCTGAGCCCCTGAAAAGCAGGAGCTGTGAAGCAACAACGAGCACTCTCCTGCCTGCTGTGTGTAGCTGGTGGCACAAGCCTCTGACTGCTTCACATAGTTTGTGTTTAGAGGGAGGCAGCAGATTACAGACACATAATATAGTGTATTACAATAAACTTGAACTATCAGAAACTTCTCAAAGGAGCAAAGGGCTAAATGAGAGATCCTGTAAGAAGATTTTGAAATCAGCATCACAAAGAAAAGCTTAAAGTGTTTTTAGAAAATGGAAGAGCAAAAGTATGTCCTAAGTTCTGCAAAGCTCAGATATTTCAGCAAAATGAACCAGTCCCTAGTGAAATTGACAGTTAAAGTACTTTTCTTGTAAGGATTAACGATTATGACTTATTCTATTATTCTAAATCACAGTAAAGTTTAAAGCTTGAATGCTTAGGCTGCCACAAGAAAAACAAAGTTCCCAGGAAAGGTCAATAAATACAGGCACAAGGCCTTTAAATGTCATCTGCCTTGATGGGCTGTTTCACCCAGCAGCTGATCAGGTTCAGAAAAAAAGATTAAAAATTTTTAAACTCTATGATCCTTCCTAATAACTCCAAATGAAAGAAACTCCTGTCCATAGCATGTTTCAGGCGCAGGGCTCCAATTTCAGCCACAAACTCCTGATTACTCAGCTTCATCTGTCGCAAGCCAAGTGCTGCCCTACAGAAAGATTGCTGAAGTCAGTTCAGAAGCATCTCCACTTGCTCAGCCAAGCCCAAACATCAGCTATTTTATGGGGCATGAAGCTGGCAATTTCAGTGGCACTGGCAAGCCATGGGCTGTGCCACATTAAAATATACCCCTTAAAATACACCCCTGTGGGATAATCAAGCTCTGCTCATCTACAAGTTACAGGTGTTATTTAAAAAACAAGAGGTGAGAAACAACCAAAAGTATTGTTTAATTCTAGTCCAGATTTGTCGCTGTTTTCTCTCTCATACATTTTTGACAGAGTTGTGATTCATATATGCTTCTGCTGAGAGGCATCTCCTGCTCCTTGCTCTGGGCGTCCCAGCTGCCTGCAGCCAGGAACCACAGGTCACACAGCCCAGAACACAACCATCAACAGCAGAATGTGACCTCCAAAAATGACACAACTTGCCTGCAGCACACTCATGGGAGAGAAAGAACAGCTGGGCTGAGTTCCCTACCACAGAAGTTGGGTCCATCTGCCAGGCAGCAGAAAATCTGATGGTGGAGTCTCAGTTGCAACACTGAGGGGTCAAATTTCAAGCCCTGCTACTGAAAATCTGTCAGCTCACAGGGAAACTGACGCAGCAACAGGGCGCATGATTTGCTCTTGTCCTTTGCTTTTCAAAACCAGACCTAGAGTTACATCACACTAGGAGTGTGCTGAACAACTAGACTGCAATGCAATTGCACAGTCACATACCAGTTTTTCCAGGGGACATGTATCACATCCACTGCACAAGAGACACCTGTGGGTACAATCAAGATGGCATGAGCAATGATAAATCTGTCAATTCAACAGTGAGGAGCTTAACTTTTCAACCTAAACAACATCCTTTTAACATCATACACACATCTCATTATGAACAGAAGTATTCAGACAGAATTCTAGAGGAAGCAGCTATGCAATACCATCCCAGGCATATAAAATACCTGGTGTAAAACATGTCAGTCTTTTGTGCCTGTTTGTGTCTGTCTCCAGGCATTGCTACAAGCCAAGCTTGCATACTTGCTAGACAAAAATATAATTCTGGAGAATGTACAGCTGCCCAAAGCAGAAACCCTCACTCCAAGTCGATATCAAAGTCTGAAGACACACAATACCAAACCCTCTTAAACTGTCCTAATACCAATATCAGCCAGACAACTTGTGATTACAGAGACATGCCCAAAACTGCAAGTACATAAATAAAATAAAAACACTCTGACACCTCTGTCAAATTGAGGGTTTGGGTTTGTCTTACCATTTCTTACTAATTTCATAAGGTTTGAGTTTCTTGTGGTTCCTCAAACTGGTACTATGGGCTGTAGATCAAAAAAAAAATAATTATTTAATACTTCTGTGAATTTGAGGGTCTCTCCTCTTTAACCCCAGGTAAA